TAACCGATGTCTTAAGCAGGCTCCTCTATAATATCTCTCGAATGTCTCTATTACTCCCTGGTCTAACAGCTGAATTAAGCTTGTGACGTTCGGTGGCAAAAATTTGACGATTATCAGTATTGTGTAGATTTTGAGGGTGAGTTGGCGCATTGTCAACAAGCAACAATGCTTTGATGGAAAGGTTTTTTTATTTTAAAAAGGATTTTACACTTGGGATGAATTCATTATCGAACCATTCTGAAATTAAAGTGGTCGACATCCATGAGGTTTTTTGGCTTCTATAAAAAACTGGTGCTTTTTCTCAAATATCTTTTAGAGCCCTTAGTTTTTTTGATTTCCCAACACACATAGGCATCAATCGGTGAGTGAAATGACTGGAATTCTTTACACTTTGCGATAAAAATTTACTATGTATTGACGAAATTATTGAAACTGTCAGCCGTTTCGGTTAAACGATGTTTCGGTTAAAAAGATTTCGGTTAATGGAGGTTTTACTGTAGTATACATAGCATATACCAAATACATTTGTTGATGATATGCAAATTTTTATGACCTTATCATTATGAGAGATAAATCTAATATGCGGCAAACGTGAAACTTCCTTTATTACTTTAGTTAAAATTGTATAGGCTATAAAACATTTTTTTGACTTACTGTTACTTTTATTTTCTGTCTTAAGTGAATATTTGTCTGGTTCATCCTTCAAATCTGTGAGATATACTTCTGCGGATAACTGACTGGCAATGTATTTTTGATCATATTCATTAAACTCTTCTTTAATTTCAATTTTAACTTCCATTTAGAGTAATTCCTTTGCGCTAGTCTATAAATTTTAGCCTCAGTCACAGTATAGCCACAGTATATTGCTTAACTTGTAACATTAAATTGTAGTATAGCCACAATAGATTGTTAAGCATTAAACCATAGATTAGGGAAGGCATTAAACCAAATAATATAGGGTTTACTTGAATTTGGGCGATTGTTGGGCTTGGGCGCAATGAACATAACCTATAGATATGTTTGACGTTAAATCATAGTATCACAGAACACTAAATTAGTATTCTGTGATAGTATAAACACTGTATATACATAGTATATACCACAGTATAGACACGTTGTTGTCTATACTGTGGTATAAACATGACAGAACGTCTGCGCGAACGAGATACTTAATTTTCCATGGAGAGTGGGCATTCTGATTGTTTATTATTCTGTGATAAAACCATCGAGCAAAAAGATAAAAGAGGGAATCTAATCGTTATGAAAAGGAGACCAAAAAAGTGGCCTCTGATGGCGGACATATCCGGAAATGCAAAGGCGCTAAATTTAAATTTTCCAACACTTGTTAACAATACCTGTAAATATTTTTCAGACAAGAAAGCTTTAATTAAATATTAACGATAATAGTCTAAAAAGTGACATAATTGGTAAAAAACTTCAATATAAATAAAATTTCATGTGACAGTTGGGACAAACAATAACATAACCAAACTAAATTTGACTTCTTAAACAAGGAAAGAGACTGTCTTTCCTTGTTTAAAGTGGCCTCTCAAGATGGCACTTCCTGTCTAACAATATTGTTGTCCCCACTACCTTTACATTCCCTCTTTTATCTTTTTGCTCGATGGATAAAACCATCGAGCAATAAGACAAAAGAGGGAATGTAAAGGTAGAAGGGGTAAACATATTGATAGACAGGAAGTGCCATCTTGAGAGGCCACTTTAGACAAGGATAGAGAGTCTCTCTCCTTGTTTGACATCAAATTTAGTTGGGTTATGTTATTGTTTGTCCCCAATGACGTATAATATATAGACTACGCAGTCCCCTATTCTCGCTATAGAATCGAGTGTCCGAAAGATCTCGGCTGAAGGTTGAAGGTATGTTTATTACAACAGCGGCGTGCTCATTTATAAGTTAATGACAATAATTATTTTTTTAATTAAAATTAAATATTTATGATTTCTTTTTGTTCCCGTCTATAAGAGAAATAATTATTTTGATAAAATAGTATGGCATTTTACTAAAATAGTAAGTAAATAACTATCAACAATTTAAAATAAAATTTGCTTGTCACACAAAATGGAGTACGTCCATGATGTTTTCAAACACAAGATCAACTTCGTGATGCTTCGTAAGAAATCATGAACTTCGTGCATCTTCGTATCAAAACAATAAACAATAACAAAGGTATTCATGTTTTGGACACTTTTTAAAGCGTTCACCGAGTCTATATATTATACGTCATTGTTTGTCCCAAATGTCACATGAAATCTTATTTATATTGAAGTTTTTTAACAATTGTGTCGCATTTTAGACTCTTATCATTTTGAAAACTATTATATAGCTACTGTTGATAAGTGTCGAAAAATTTAAATTTAGCGCCTTTGCATTTCCGAATATGTCCGCCATCAGAGGCCACTTTTTTGGTCTCCTTTTCATAACGATTAGATTCCCTCTTTTGTCTTATTGCTCGATGGATAAAACATATCCCTGGATAAAACTGATATAACAATACATTATAAGGGCATGGCAACACTGCCAACGAATGATTTCGTTCTGTGAAACTTAATTGACAGCTGACAGCTAATTCTAATTTGAGATCTTCTGCTTCACTCAACCATTAACAAGATAGGATCTTCCCGTAGCTCAAAATCGGTCGGGTTCGCGCATGCCGTCATTGGAGACTAGAATTTGAATTCTTGTTAAAGTTAAATGAGATTTTTATGCATTCTGTGATGAAATTACTAGACGAAAATAAGTTAAGAGGTTTAATAATTAGAATAATCGTACACATAAGGATATCTCCAAACTATTTATTAAAGATTATTTATTGATATATACAAAAACTGACATTTCGAACGTGCAAGTCTCCAATGACGTCACAAAAACATGCGCAATATCTTATCTTATAGTCATAGTATCATGTCACTCAACTACTTCACCTGGTCAATTGTCTGTTGTGTGTTGTTTTCATGTTGTTCTTTTGTTGTTTGTTTCGGATGGATTTGGTGTTCCCATCGAGCAAAAAGACAAAAGAGGGAATGCAAAGGTAGTGGCGGCAAACATATTGTTTAGACAGGAAGTGCGATCTTTAGAGCCCACATTAAACAAGGAAAGAGAGTCTCTCTCCTTGTTTGACATCAAATTTAGTTGGGTTATGTTATTGTTTGTGTTTGTCCCAAATGTCACATGAAATCTTATTTATATTGAAGTTTTTTTAACAATTGTGTCGCATTTTAGACTATTATCGTTAATAATTAATTAAAACTTTCTCGTCTAAGACACATTCTGAAAAATATTATATAGCTACTGTTAATAAGTGTCAGAAAATTTAAATTTGGCGCATTCGCATTTCCGGATATGTCCGCCAGCGCCATCAGAGGCCACTTTTTTGGTCTCATCTTTTCATCAAAGCAGTGTTGCCAATCGGCGCATAATTATGCGATTTGCGCATAATTTAGTTGCCGGCGCATAATTTTCGCATCCTGCATAAAATCACATAATTTCGCACATTCCAGCAAAGCAAAAAAAACCAATGACAAGCCAGTTTATAATAAGAGTACTCGTCTTCTTGTTTGTTTTAAAAGAAAGCGTTTATGCTGACATTTTACACAGCCACAAAATAATAAACAATTGGGTTGAGTTTACCCATCGAGTTAGAATCTATGGAGAGGGCATCACGTGACTAAAAACGACCTAACTTCGGCCATATTGGTATTATTGTTTTGAAACTTTTGACAGATCATATATGTTTGGTTATATTTGTTGTTTTTCGAATATTTTCAGTTTTATAATAATTTTATAGATTCTGTAATATATTGTGATAGTGCATAATATTGGTTTCTTGTTCTCAACGTAGTTGCAGTAGCAGAAGTAATGTTAATAAAAAATCTTCAGGAATATCGTTCCACAGGTTAGTATACAAATATGTAAACAAAGTAATGGCCCGTACTTCAGAGAATAAATTAATACTATTTGATTGTATTAATTTATATTTATATATAATATATCGTGTTTTTAGTGTTTACTGCGGGATAAATAAATCACCGCCATATTGGTATTCTCGTTAGCCACTCCTACCTATGCCGTTTTTAATACATACGTTAATATGCTCATAAAAGCTTATAGCTTCTCCATAGATTCTAACTCGATGAGTTTACCGAAAGTACAAGCTGAATATAGCCGCAAATGTCAAAAATATTTCGGTTTGGCAGTGTTGGCATGTTTTTATAACGCATATTGTATGCTTCAAATATAAAGAGATAAAGCTTTTAAAAAGTACATTTTGATTATACCATTTAATGAATTCTGCAATTTTTAATTTACATGAAGCACTAACGAGTAGATATTTGTCTTTTTTGAGATTAATTGCAATTTTTTTTGTAATCTGGCAACTGCTGATTTGACGATTGCCAAATCTATCCTCTAACCTATCAAAGGGTAATTGCTAAAAAAATTTCTAATTATTAACTGCAATAAATCTCCAAAGAAACAAATATTTACTCATTGTTGTTTTATATAAATCAAAAATTGCAGAATTCATAACATAATATAAACAAAATGTACTTTTCTAAAGCTTTATCTTTTTATATTTGAAGTACTTATACAGCATCTACATTTACAAAAACATGCCAACACTGCTATAGAGAAAGTTTTTGTTCTATGTTTGACATTTGTGGCTATAATCAGCTTGTACTTTCGGTAATCTCAACCAACAATTGTTATTTCTTCTGTGACACAGCATTATCTTTAGCAAATAAAAATTTTACTTTATCGAAGAAAATTTTATATTCAAGACTTAGATACAAGAAAACATAAATAACTTCCTATATCAGAAACGATATAAGACATGATACAAGAAAATGCATACTGTCATACGGCCTTTACAATGACTACTGACAGGACGTGACAGATGACAGTAAGGTTACAACAGAGCGCATAATTTTGTACAAAATCGCATAATTTTTGACAGGGAGGTGCATCCTTCCATGCCCAGCCACTGGTAACACTGCATCAAAGAATATAGACGCTTAGAACAAAGAATCGAACAAAGCGTCTATATTCTTTGTTTTCATCATAAGGATTAGATTAGATTCAATTAGATTCCCTCCTACTTATATATATTTAATCTATGATTCCCTCTTTTGTCTTTTTGCTGGATGGGTGTTCCCCAGATATTTAATAATTATGGAAGTTAAAATTGAAGTTAAAGAGGAATATGACCAAAGATACGTTGCCAGTCAGCTATCCACAGAAGTATATCTACCAGACTTTAAGGATGAAATGGACAAATATTCACTTGAGACAGGAAATAAAAGTAAGTCCAAAAATGTTAAATAGTATCTACAATTCAAATTCAAGTAATACAGTACTCAGTGCAGTATAATAATTAGACTTATATCTGATATTAAGATCTTTTGCATTTCCGTAAACATGTGGCTTATATCAACAAAATTTATTTGCTTATGTATAATGTCTACTTCATTATTGTTTACATTAATATATAAAATAATGGTCGCTATCAAAGGGACGATTTTCACATTTGGTCTCATTGAAGATAGCCTCAAATTAGCTGTCTTTGCTATATAAAACGACTCTCGTTAATTCGAAACTCGAGGGACTCTTAATATTACGAATTATTGAGTGTTTGAAATATCAAATGGTTTGAAATTTGTGAGAGTAAATAAATAAAACTTCGAAATATTAAGTGTTGATCAATTATTATTGATTAACTTGTATTCTATAATGAAGACAAAAGTTTAGAGGTACATACATTATGTATTCACAATGTGAATTAATCAATCTTTCAAAAGAACTATATATTATTTTAAAGCAATATGCTGTGACTATATTATACCGGTTTGCTTCAAAGCACTGCTGCTGCTCAGACTGTTCAATAATTTTTTTTAAGAGACAAAGTGCCTGAAATGCTGAAATGACAAAGTATCGAATGAGGATCTTGCTTCCTTAACTGACACATTTGCCAAAGGTTCTGATATATAGTGCTCATCTTCAGCGTTACTTTTTTCATTTGTATCTGTCGCAGATAAAATTTTGCCATTGGTTACTGAACCTGAGACAGCAACATCTTATCCACTTAGTCAGAAAAATTCACACTGCTAATGTCAACTAATGGTTCTATTGCTAGTTCTTCATCATCCATAAGTATTGGAAGATTTTCATGATTTTCTTTTAAGAAACCTGATTTTTTGAAGCAGTTGAGAATTGTTAGGGGTATTACAACCTCTCCATGCCTTGTCAATCAGTAAAATAGCTGTCAGAACCATGATATTTGCAGTTAGCTTCTTGTAGAGAGATTATAAAATGAGCTTAAAAATTTTTTTGCAAGAGAACATCTTAAAATTATGGATGATCCCTTTGTCCAATAGTTGCAATTTTGAAGTTGTATTTGGCAGAAAGAAGTAGAGTTCCATGTTGGACAATGTATGAGAAGTGTTGTGGGACAGTGCAAATGGCTAAAAATATTAAAATTTTCAATTTTTGCAATTTTATGTCCCCATTAACTGTTAAATGCCAATTGTTAAAAGTTCTGTTGTCATCTAACTTTTTTGTTAGCATGATAATCTATAGGAAACCAATTCACATCTTTAAAACATTGCAGTTTCATTACTTCTCCTATCACTAAGGGTTTAAGTTTTTCCGATCATTCATAATTACTGCCGGTACAACTGCCAACCTTCTTTATTATGTTTTCCCCCATGACATTTTTCATCTTTATAGCTAAGTATGTCGTTCGATAAACATTTGAAAAATAGACCAGTTTCATTAGTATTAAAAATGACTGAATGAGCAATTGAAACTACTGAACATTGACTTGGATGCCAAAAACAAAGAAATAGAGAAATACAAAGTAAATTTAAAACCTCTAAAAGAACAAAAATCTGCAGCTGAAGCTGCAAGTAAGCAAGTCAGCCAAAATGTCGTCCAAGAAATTTCGAGTGCTGTCGTAAAATCAGTAGAACCTCTGCTTAAACAGATTTCAACTGCAGTGACAGAATGTATTGAATCAAACAATGAAAAAACTGCAAACACATTTGACAACCTTATACAAACTGTGTCTGCAAATGCAAACTATGCTTCGAATGTGGATAAGTTCATTGAATAACTAGCAACTATTCAGAATAGTATGACTAATGTTGATAAATCTAATCTAAATTTAAGATTGGGATCTATTGAAGACAAAATCAAAGACGTGAGATCGCCGCCGCCTGTCTCATATACGCCCATATCACAAAAAGTAACAACCAACCAAGTTGCTCATGCTGTGACCAACGCTGCTTATATCTCAATGCAACGACACATGCGCAGAAACCGGCATTAAAGAAAACAAAAATGTCGACAATTTCTCGCAAAATGTAAACAATAGACACAAATATACATCAACTAAAGGTGCAGGAAGCGAAGATGCTAACTTTGTAGCCGCGAATCCTAGCAAAATGTGGCTTTACATAGGAAAAACTGCAGAAACAGTCACGAATTACATTATCAAGACTTATATACAAAGAAAATTGGCTAACCTCAAGGTTGAAGATGTGATGGTGGAGCAACTAAAAACCGTGGGCAGTACTAGCTCTTTTAAAGTAGGCCTACCTATAGAATTTTATGATGAAGTTAATACTAGTGATTTCTGGCCAAAAGGAATAATTTTTAGACGTTTTAACTTCAAGAGAAGAGTTTTTGACTCAGGAGTTTCTTTCTGGGAAAACTAAAAGATAGACGACAATCAAGCAGGAATGACTCGGAAATTTCTGTTTATTATCAAAATGTGAGAGGTCTCCGCACCAAATTAAATGATTTTTCATCATCTGTTATTGCCAACGATTATGATGTGATACTATTAACCGAGACCTCTCTGTATGATGGTATAGAGGATGGAGAATTGGGAGTTCCAGAGTACAATATATACAGAGGGGATAGAAATGAAAATACCAGTACAGCTAAACATTTGGGTGGTGCTCTAATTGCTGTAAAAAAGGAATTTGTTTCTTCAGCAATCACTTCAAAATCAGCCAACATTGAAAGTGTTTATGTAAAATTGTAAACACCAAATCAAAAAATCCTTTTTGTCTGTGTGTATATACCACCATCATCAGTGTCTTATATAGTGGATGATTTTAATCTACCAAACATAGTTTAGGAGAACGAAGATCTAGGATCAAGACCAGTTGGTAATATTACAGAATCTGTTGAGTGTATGTCAAATTTTATTGCTTATTTTAACTTATTGCAAAATAATACAATATCAAATGTTTTAGGAGGTTATTTGGATTTAATATTGTCAAATAATGTTGTAAATGTTAAATGTGTTGATTTTCCTTTGTTAAACTGTGATAAGTACCATCCAGCACTTTCTTTCTGTATTGATTGTGATAAAACTGTAATTAAAACTGTAAAAATTTTAGGTAATGTAAAGGTAATGTAAACTGGGACAACTTACTCAGCAATATTTTAGATGTTAATAAAGCAATATCCTGTTTTTATGATATTTTGTACTGTTGCATAGATTTATATGTACCAAAACAAAAATGTAAAAACCCAAAATTTTCAAAATCATATTCAACTGAACTGAAAAATGCTATTCTAAGAAAAAAAGTAGCTCATAAACAATTCAAACAAACTAATACTTTTTCTGACTATAAACTATTCTCAGACATTCGTAGTGAATGCAAAGTCTTAGCTGAGCAATGTAAAAGTCAAACCATAAAAACTTTGGAACAAAATATGACTAATTCCAAAGAATTCTGGAGTTATGTACACAGTAAAAATAAACATTATGACTTACCAAACAACATGACCTATGACAATAAGTTAGAAAAATTAAATCTAAAACTTAGTAGTGGCCCTGATGAAATTTCACCTTATTTTGTACATAAATGTCGTTTTGTTCTGTCCCCTGTATTACTAAAAATTTTTCGTTTTTCATTAAGTACTGGCACTTTCCCAGAAGAGTGGAAAAAAAGTTATATTTCTCCTATTTTTAAGAATGGTAGTAAAACATGTATAGAAAATTACATACCCATTTCCAAAATTTTTATTTTTGAAAAGATTTTTGAGTCAATTATTGATTCAAAAATATTTTTTCCAATAAAAAGTTTAATTATTCCTGAACAACACGGCTTTATGCCAGGTAGGTCTACAACCACAAATCTAGAGATCCTAGAAGAATTCATTTTGGATGTCTTTGGGAAGGGGGCTCAGGTCGATGTGATCTATACCGACTTCTCAAAGGCATTCGATCGTGTTAACAGCAAGATTCTTATAAAAAAACTAGAGGCACTAGGAATTCATGGATCCCTGCGTGAGTGGTTGGAGAGCTACTTGACAGATAGGCTTCAGATTGTAAAAGTCAAGAACTGTCTTTCTGAAGAGATTTTGGTTAGGTCTGGCATCCCACAGGGTAGTCATTTATCGAGTATTCTTTTTATTTGTTTCATAAATGACATTTTAGAAATCTTTGAAAATTGTGTTATTTTGTTGTATGCTGATGATTTGAAAATTTTTAGAATGATTAAGAATGTTAGAGACTGTGTAAAAATGCAAAAAGATGTAAACAATTTTTCACAATGGTGTACAAAGAATGACCTTTCACTTAATATTGATAAATGCATGATACTATAATAACAAGATAGGATCTTCCCGTAGCACAAAATAGGTCATGTTCGCGCATGCCGTCATTGGAGAGTAGAATTTGAATTCTTATTAAAGTTAAATGGGATTTGTATGCATTCTGTGATGAAATTACTAAACGAAAATTAGTTAAGAGGTTTAGTAATTACAATAATCATACACATAAGAATATCTCCAAACTATTTATTAAAGATTATTTATTGATACATACAAAAAACTGTCATTTCGAACGTCAAACTCTCCAATGACGTCACGACTTATGCGCAATATCTTATCTTCTTAGTCTTAGTATCATGGATAAATGTATAAAATGCGTTTTTTTAGAAACTCACAACCTGTCTGTTTTAATTACTCTATAAATAATATATTTCTGGAACCAACAAACACTTTTAAAGATTTAGGTGTATTTTTTGATCCCACTTTTATGTTTAAAAAATCACTATAATTTTATTTGTAATAAAGCTTTTAAATTACTTGGATTTTTGAAAAGAACCTTGTCAGAATTCAATAACTTAGATTGTTTTAAAAGTGTGTATTGTTCTATGGTTAGATCAGTTCTGAAATATTCCAGCACTATTTGGTCTCCTTTATATAAATGTCATATTGAAAGCATTGAGAAAGTTCAGAAAAAATGTTTGTGCTTTGTAGGCTATAAATTAGGAATTTCTTCAGAAGATATAGTGTATTGTGACATTTTAAAATTACTTAATATACCAACATTAGAAAATCGTCGTTTAATGTTAGATTTGGTTTTTCTTTTCAAGATTGTAAACGGAATGATAGATTCGCCTCAAATTTTGCATAGAGTAGGTCTTAGGGAGAGCGCCCACCAAAGTGGCGTGGCAGTGGCAAGTAGCAAGTAGCACGCGTCTACCAATGAAAACGAATGATTAAGTTCACACCAAAATGACAGTGACGTTATTCATTCTAATCATTCGTTAGGATTGGTTACATTATGCTAGACGCGTGCTACTTGCTACTTGCCACTGCCACGCCACTTTGGTGGGCGCTCTCCCTTAGGGTTCCACAAAGGTGCACAAGATCCAAGGACGTTTTTCACTTAGAATTCCAACAAACAAACTATTGTCTAAATAGACCTATAAGACGAATGTGTCAATCTGGAAATGGTTTAGATGTAGACTTTTTTTCTAGCTCTCTGAATAGTTTTCGAAAAAAGCTGAAAAAATCTTATTAAAATACAATGTAGGCTGTCACTGTAAACTGTCATTTAGGTATTTATTCTATTTATTTGTCTTGTGTAAATTGTATGTAATTATTATTGAATTCTAAAACTGTTAATATGATATGATTTATTTAATGATTGTAATTATTGTAATTGGTATAACCGTAAATAAACTATTTATTTATTTATTTATTAACATTTTATTAAAGCAATTTGGCTTAAATCGTAATATTTTAAAGTGTAGAATCTACGGTTTCTTTGTGTACAAGTACTTAAGGACCACGCTATATATATATATATATATATATATATATATATATATATATATATATATATATATATATATATATATGTAAAAGATTAAATAATCTTTTAGCAAAAGCTGCTATCGCTTCATTGAATTAAATGGCCACATATATGGCCTAGGAGGACAAATTCGTTAATAATATATATATATATATATATATATATATATATATATAATTGTAAAATTCTCAACATCTATAACATACAATTATGTGAAAATTATATGAATATGTATATACAGATTGAACGAATTTAATATATGTCTGTTTGAACTGCATTTGAAATAGTGGACCAATATAAAACTTGGACAAAAATAAATCCATACCTGGGTATAGACATTGTATAAAATATCGTTTAACTCTCTCTCTCTGAACAAGTTGTTTGCGTAAAGGAAGCGATAATAGTTCAGGAAATGAAGCTTGGAAAAAGTTTAAACTTCGCAATTTTTTCGTCCTGCATGGATTAAGTTGAAATTTTAACAGAAGGTAGGTGATAGTCCAAGGATCAAAATCTATATCGAACCGAAGTGCGCTGTGGGGTTTTAGGGGTGAAAACTACCCCTAATTGTCAAAAATTATAAAATAACATATTTAACCGGAAATGGGTAAGATTTGGTTTGAATTAGTTAAATAATGATTATTTTATACTTTTGAATAGAGTTTCATCATATTTCAACCCTTAAAAAGCAACCCTTGTTAGACATTAATGTAAAAAAATTACTAATTCTAAAAAAATTATTTCGCCTTGGATCGATTTGGATAAAAATTTGGATTGAAGCTCAATTCACCCACTGCTTTATAGTTTATGTCATGTCGACGAACCCTGATTGTTCTTATTGGTGAAAACTACCCCTAATTGTCAAAAATTATAAAATAACATATTAAACCTGAATATGGGTAAAATTTGGTTTGAATTAATTAAATAATGATAGTTTCGTGCTTTTGAATAAAGTTCCATCATATTTCAACCCTTAAAAAGCGAACCTTGTTAGAGATTAATGTAAAAAAAAATAATGCGAAGAAAATGATTTCACCTTGGAACGATTTGCATAAAAATTTGGAATTAAGCTCAACTCACCCTTTTCTTTATAGTTTTATGTCATGCCGATGAACCCTTATTATTCTTAGGTGTGAAAACTACCCCTAATTTTCAAAAATTGTAAAATAACATTACAAATCTTAAGATGAGTGAAATTTGGTTTGGATTAGTTAAATAGTGATTTTTTTATACTTTAAAATACAATTTCATACATTTTCAACCCTTAGAAATCAATTGTTATGAGTGCTATAGGTGAAAACAATTTTTTGCCAAAATTTTGCAACTTTTCAACTTTTGAAAATCACCCTTTACAACATTGCAGTTTTTATAAACTAATTTAATAGATATAAATTGAAAAAAGTAGAATTAAATACAAAAAAATTTATCAACATAAAAAGGCACCATATATTCTTACACATTTACATAAATAGTTGAAAATGTTTATATTTATAGGTAAAACAATTATAATATTAATTTTATTCATCATCAATTACATCTTCATCGTGATCTATGTCATCCTCATCTTCTTCAATTATTGGTGGACTAATATTGCACCCTTCACCTGAGCACCCAGAACAAGTAGAGTTACAGTATAAACCAACTTTTCTGCACCCACATGAAACGCCGCATCCTTTTTTGCATTGGGAAAAAATAATTTTCAGAAGTTCATCGGGTGCAGGTTGTTTGTGCATGCGTACGGGTAATAACAAACCATCTTTGGAATACCATCCCCAATCTGTTGCACTGATATTTTCATTGCAAAGCCATAGACATATGAGCAGATATTTTATTCTGTTGTATGGGATTTCAAAATAAGAACGCTTAAAATTTCGAATGTATAACGCCCCACTACCTAATATACCGGTTTTGTAGATTATTATGCTCCGAAATGTACTGTACTATACTAATGGAATTTTCCGGAAAAAAAATTAATTGGTTTTTTTAACGTATTTCCTTCATTTTTAACGATAGAGTGTTTCAAACGGTTTTGTAGAGGTTTTTAAGAGCTACAAGGATCTGTGAATTAAATCTTTTTGGAACCCTTGGTTTTTAAATGGGGTGAGTTTAAAGGGCTCGAAAAAGATGGTGCTTGATCGTAAATCGATGCTTTAAACGGCTATATCTCGCCAAATATTCATTGTACAACAAATTTTAATAAAGAATACAATCTAGTACATTTTTAAAAATGTACTAGAAAGCTACAATTTAGTACATTTTTATTTTTTTCGTATATTCAGTATTTTCGGGGATATTTAAAAAAAGAAGGGTAAAAAATATGAAATTATAAATCGTTTCTCGCTTTATGCTGTACTTTTTCTAAAACTAAGCATTTTAAATGGGTCAAACTTCTTGGACGTATTAACAATACATGTACAAAGAGAATTGCAGAAGGGTGAAGATCGATTCTAACTATGGGGGTGGTTAAGGTGTTGTTTTCATCGATTTTTTCGTAAAAAAAATGAGGTGTTGACCTTATTTTCATCATAACTCACTCAATTTTTGAGCTAGAGTCTTTTTTTATGATAGGTCTATTTATGCTCTTTAAAAAAGGTTCTGTGAGTTTTCTTCCAAAAATGCATCATTTTCCCGATATTTGACATTGAATCATTCAAATTTGGCATTTGAAGAAAACCGCTTAACATTGATAGTCCGTATTTCGGTTCATGTTATATCGCAAAAACATTTTAAAAAATGAATTGTATTTGTCTTTTTAAAAGCTACAAATTTGTTCTCTACAATTTTTTTGATAAAATGCACCATTTTCGAGTTATTCGCGAAAAATCGATTAAAAACGTCGATTTTTTCGTCTAAAAGTTGTTACTTTCAATCGCGAATAACTTGAAAAATATCAGTTTTACAAAAAAAATGTATAGTACATTTTTTGTTTAGAATCACTTTTTTAATCGAAACCTGTAGTTAAAACGTAAAAAAAAATTTTCACCCCCCGAGAGAGGGTGGCAACCACCCCCAAGGTTTTGGCGCACTTATGTTCGATATAGATTTTGATCCTTGGCTATTACCTACCTTGTGTTAAAATTTCAAGTCATCCACGCAGGACGAAAAAATTGCGAGGTGAAATGCTTCATTTCCTGGACTATAAGTGGTTTGACAGCATAATAAAATCGTAAATTTATGTGTAGCTTTCAATTTTTATGATTTCAGAATCCAGCAGCCCGCTGAAGTATTGGATTTTTATAATATAATTATTTGACAACCTTTTATTGGTCAACCACCTACAGCAGAATTGAGCCGAAATACATAATATCTCGTATGTTCCGAATTTATTTCGTTCAATCTGTATAGTGGTTTCTTTATTCTGAAGTTTCTACATAAATTTCTTGTAGCAATATTTTTATACTTGGTTTCTATTTCAGATTATTCAGAGGAGGAGCACATAATGAAAACACCTTCGTCCCATAAAGAAGAAGAATCTATAAGTCGATACTCTGAAGAGAACACATTAAATAAAAATATGAAAATTCCGATTTCGCAAGGATCTTCCCACTGTAAACAGTGTGAACGACAAATAAAAGTTCACACTGGAAGTAAACCTCATAAATGTGAAATTTGTCTTAAGCAGTTTATTAAAAAAAATAATTTGAATGAACATATGAAAATTCATACTGGAAAACGACCTTATAAATGTGAAATTTGTCTTAAGCAGTTTACTCAAAAAAATACTTTAAATCAACATATAAAAGTTCACACTGGAGAAACACCTTATAAATGTGAAATTTGTTTTAAGCACTTTTCTTACAAATATAGTTTGAATGTACACATGAAAGTTCACACTGGAGAAAGACCTTATAAATGTGAAATTTGTCGTAAACAGTTTACTCAAAAAAGTAATTTAAATGAACATATAAAAGTTCACACTGGAGAAACACCTTATAAATGTGAAATTTGTCTTAAGCAGTTTACTCAAAAAAATAGTTTAAATGAACATATGAAAACTCACACTGGAGAAAAACCTTATAAATGTGAAATTTGTTTTAAGCACTTTTCTTACAAATATAGTTTGAATCTACACATGAACGTTCACACTGGAGAAAGACCTTATAAATGTGAAATTTGTCTTAAACAGTTTACTCAAAAAAGTAATTTAAATGAACATATAAAAGTTCACACTGGAGAAACACCTTATAAATGTGAAATTTGTCTTAAGCAGTTTACTCAAAAAAATAGTTTAAATGAACATATGAAAGCTCATACTGGAGAAAAACCTTATAAATGTGAAATTTGTTTTAAGCACTTTTCCTACAAATGCAGTTTGAATGCACACATGAAAGTTCACACTGGAGAAAGACCTTATAAATGTGAAATTTGTCTTAAGCAGTTTACCCATAAAAAAATTTTAAATCAACATATGAATGTTCATACTGGAGAAAGACCTTATAAATGTGAAATTTGTCTTAAGAAGTTTGTACGACAAAGTATTTTAAATAAACATGTTCTAGTTCACACTTGAGAAAGACCTTATAAATGTGAAATTTGTTAAGCAGTTTACAGTACACGGTAATTTTATGAACATGTTCTAGTTCAGGCCAGAAAAACCTTATAAATACGAAATTTGTCTTAAGCGTGTTACACTACAAAGTAATTTAAATAAACATATTGTAGTTCACATTAGAGACAAACTTTATAAATGTGAATTCGTGTTAAACAGTCCATTCAACCACATACTTTAAATGAACATATGTATGAAACTTCACACAGGAGAAAGACCTTATAAATGTGAAATTTATCTTAAGCAATTTGCACTACCAACTATTTTAAACAAACATGTTTTAGTTCACAGTTTGAGCAGTTTTTCTACAAATCTGTTTTAAATGAATATAATGAAAGTTCACACTATTCGATCTGGAAATCTTACAGAGTGACAAATTTTTAAAGTATAGACAGTTCCGGTGTCGAACGGAAGGACGTAAGGAAGACCAGAGGCATCGAGGTTTTTAAATAAATATTTACATCAATTTTATTAATATTAATATTTAATTTTGTATGTACCTCAAAAATATTTTTAAAATAGACTAATAAAATTTTAAACTTTAGTATATTATAATGCTTTTATTAGTCCTAATTTATTGTCTTTATTCTAATTTATTGTCTTTATTCTAATTTATTAAAACTCACGATAATTTATCAAAAGTCTTTATTTTATACTAATTTATTTTACACTTAATAATTACAAATAATTTATTTGCGTTCGCTACAATTTAACGCGAGATCGCGATCTTCTTTTTTGACTAACCGTCCTCAATGAGAATCGCCGTTATCTGGAAGGATCTGGCGTGAAGTAGACGGAAGTTGACCTGAATAGTCTCAAACCTGTTTCCAGAAAGATCGAGTAGTAGTTGACCGCTTTCATATCGAAGGGGGACCCATAGTGTCAGGTACGTTTTTTACCTGCGTCTCGGCCGGTTCGTGATCTAGAAAATACGTGATTAGTCATAATGTATTTACAGTTTGATACGCAATAATATTTAAAATCGTAACAATATTAAATAGTACATTTTTAAAAGTAAATCAATTACTATATTATCATTTTCGGGTTCAAATATAGAAGAATCGAAATAAAATTCACAATAAAATTAAACGGCATCATCAAATAATACATTTGTGTGTTCCCAAAGATATCCACAACACAATCAAATTTCATCTTACGTTCTTGGTGAAAACTCACAATAATACTTTTCAAACTGAATTATTAATCAATTTTACATAACTTACTTTTACTCAACATCAGAAATGTCTGAGTCATCGCTATCTGCACCAAGTTAAACGACAATGGGTTCCATAATGATATCTGCCTATATATCAAAACTTCACATCTTTTCTTCTTTTTGCGTGTGAAAGATGCACAAAATCTTCCAAACCCAACTCCAATGACTATTTTAACAACTAATACTTCCAACAAAATTATTGTTCAAACCAACCACAAAGTATAATTACAGAAGAACTTCATAGTTCTAGAAGTACATAATATAGACGAAATAAGTAATTCTAAAGATAATGACCATTTTTTAGAGCAACTTGCCTCGGACCAAGTAGAATCGAATTATTAAATTTAACAAAGAAAGTGATTAGAGATAAAAATATATATCACTTTTTCTGAAAATAATCTAAAAATTTTATTAATACCGGTAGTAGTAAATCTTTTGTTGTTCCAAATGTAGAAAAATATTTTAAAATTCCATTTTTCGGAAGCATTTTCAAGTTTTACTTTGTTTATTAGCATTAGACAATCTTAAGAAACTTAATACCAAAATAGACATAGACCTTATAGATAATATAGTCTTAATTACACAAAATAGTCAAATTAAAATTTTTTATCATAACAATAGCAAGGAAAGCATGAATACGAAAATACATTTTTTTTTTGAGTAAGCTTTGATTGAGAGGTTTCCTGGACTATGGTAAAATTATACAAATACAGTTGCCTAGAGTAGTAGGCACTTTGGTCGGGGACCTTAGGAAGTACAAGGTTTTTTTGACAGTCGAAAGTTAGTGTTATCAAATCATCTCGTGACTCTTTAAGCAACTCGAAAAATGCATTAGCCCTTCATCGTCATCCAGCCTCAAGAGTCCACTGCTGAACATAGGCCTCTTCCTCATGTTTCCAACCCCGTCTATCTGTCAAGACGGGGCATTAGCCCTTAGCTTATGAATTTTTCTTTTAACAATCAATTTTTTCTTCTCTTCTTCATATATAGATCTTTTAATTTTTTCTGCAAATTCAATGCATAGGGAACACACATCCGTACGGGTACTAAGGTTATACTTAGTATTAAAAATCATTCTAAAGTATGATGGTTTTACTCTCTCCTCGGGAGAACGCTGATTAATATACATTTGGAACATTTTTTGTATTGACAAATCGGAAGAAAGGTAGTGTGTACGTGTATAAGTGCGATAGTAATGCGATTGAATACTTGAAAAGTATTAATAAAGTTTTGAACTAATTCTTGTTAAAATGTGTAGTTTTTCTGTGACCCCCGCAATTTTTTCCGTAGGTGCTTCTCCTGTTTTTAAAAATGATTTCATAATGTATGTGAGGCGATGTTTCGTAATATTTAGTATGTTTAAAAAGGCTTTTTGGCACACTGGAATATTTTGCTTCATTACACTATTCCTTACAAAGCATTTCACAAACGTTGTTTTTGCTTCATGGCTAGAGTTTTTTGGACGGCGACGTTTAGGTAGTTGAACTGTACACAATTTTATTAAGATACCATTTTTTAAGAAATATTTGTAATACTGACCTTATACAATTAACAGTAGCTTGAGCAAATCATTAGTTTTTTTTTTGTTAGTTTTTCATAACATGTAAAATAGTTTTTTTTTAATGGCCATTGGCATGATACCATTGATTTTACAATGAGATACCTAGTGTAGTGCGCAGTATGTGTAGTGTATGTGTGTTGAGTAAATGCCTTGTTACTTTGAAAAGTCGACGTCATTGTCTTTACCAAGAGACGTTAATTGTATCCGAACGTCTGCGGTCCCTATGGTGAGTACTAATCCCACAAAGATAGTAAAATAGTTTTAATAATAAAATAAATTATATGAATAAAATCTGAATCCGGATCTGCTCTTAAACCCAATTTTTAGAGTAAAAACTATAAATAAAATGGGGTACGTTCTTTAACGTATGCCATTTTTTTCTGCATATTTTGCCGCCATGTGGATGGATTGCAAATTCGTTTGTGAGCTTTATTGTTTTTAACAGGAGTTGTAATAGTTTCCATTTTAAACTACTAACAAAATAAAAGACAAACAGTTTGGCAGCTTGGTTGAAAAGAAACTACGAGAAAGTATAACGATAACGACTCCAGCCGTCTCCTAGTGGTATATCACATAGTTGCTGCGAGGATTCTCATTGGTCAAAGATGACATTGCCGACTTTGATTCTAAACCTTTCATGGAGATTCTCGTGTTTGATTCTTATTCTCTTTATTTTTGTATAGTGTTTTAAAATACGAATAATTTGATGTAATTAACTCAATTTTGGTGAAAAGTGGAGATTGTCGACTTTGTTACTAGGACCCTCAAATATAGGATCGTACAGAATATTAAACGAAATTACTTTAGGAGATCGATATCCCCTACTTTAGATCTTGCTTTGGGACTTCATCAAATAGAATTGGCCAAAAATAATAAAACAGCTTTTAACACCGAAAACGGTTACTACGAATTCCTTAGAATGCCTTTTGAATTGCGTAACGTACCGGTGAGCTTCCAAAAAGTAATGGAATAATATACTTCTAGGAATACAAAGTGTGCACTTAGACGACATTATTATTTTGTACTAGGAAAACCAAAAAAGGTATATCGATGGAAGGCAACCGTATATACGTATTTCTGACTATTGGTCGTCTTCAGTGCGGTGCAGTCAAGTTGGAAAAGGAGCATGTTAACTTGGAAAAGTATCACTACAGGAGCAATACGACCAATCTGTGGCATTAGAGTGAGACCCTGATGGTTTCCAGGGCAACAACTAACAATAACCACGGAGGAAGCTACAGATACCTGGGGAAAGGAATGCCAAAAGTTAAAATGTTTAAAACAAATGGAAAAAGATAATGCCATTACTTTTATTATTCACCGTTTTACCATGATTTACCGGGTTTTAAGTTTACCGATGTTTCAAAGTATTCAACTAACTTGTTCAACTATTCACTCGTTAATCACCCTGGTATGAAGAAGGAATATTGTTACGGGGGAAATTTTATGGAACCATCTTACTTTTCACTTATCTACATTGGCGAAGCATACACAATAAAAATGACCCCGGTAAATACCAGTAACAATTTACTTTTGACATTTAACATTGTTGCCGTTAGCTTTCAGTTCAATTTGTAGATGAGTCATATTTAATTGAAAATAGTATAGTAAGAATTTAACACGTGTTTATCTAATGAAAATATTAATAAGAAAACTAACTATATAAGAAAAGTATAGTTCTAAAGCTATTTTTCTTGTGGCATTTTTAAGTAATTACTATTTATATGGGAATAAGCCACAATTAAAGGTTAAAATACGTTTATTCGTAATTTTAATCAACGTATTTTAACCTTTAATTGTGGCTTATTCCCATTTAAATAGTAATTACTAAGAAAAGTATAAATAAAACAAAGAATATTTTGGAAATGACTTTATGATGAATAAATTATTTTACAATGACTTAATCCTCAATTAGAAATACAAATATAAATAATAAATTTTGGTTAAGATTATAGTTGAAACTTGCAAATACATGTACATATCTTCATATATCAAAAATTAGGTGTTGATAATAAAATGTAATAAAGACATTTATTCCTCACAGGCCTGTATCAATGTAGAAAGCTATAAGAATGAACAACAAATCACTACATGGAAACTTATTAATTTAGCTATCAATAAATACACTATTATAGTAGTAGAAAATCCCTAACTTTGGGTTGACCATAAAAAATGATTATTTTTAAAAATTTACAAGAAAACGTAAGTTTTTATTAAATAAAGCATAAAACAAATATTTTATTTAGTGGTCATCCATTGCATGGTAAATTATTATGCCGGTCTATAGCATATCTCCGAATTAATGTTAAATATTCCTAAATATTGTTTTAGTCTTCTCTTTTTGATTTATCTTAAGTCTACTGGACTATTATAACTTTTAAACTTGTTATCCTGTAAAAATTGAAAGTGATTCCAAGCAGCAGTTTGAGCTGTTGTCTGTAGGTAGTCATTCGAAGCAATTTATCTTAAAGATACAAGAAATCGAATATCGTGCGGTGATAAACTTCTTCATAAAACGCCACATCGATCGAAATTCAATTGCAGGTTGTATGGCGACTATTATCTTCAATTTATCCATTGAATAGGAGAAAGACTATTATAACGTGACGGTGAAAGAGTCCAAGATAATTCACGTGAAACCAAAAAATGCAACCATGACGGAAATCATTTACACAAAGTGCATGATATGGTTTTGGAAAATTGGTGCATAAAGGTGCGTGAAATTGCTAATGCCCTAACGATATCGAAAGAACTTGTTGGTCATATTTTGCA